ATTTTAAAAGAGAGTCACCACTTAATTGTTTTTTAAGAAATTAAGAAAAACTTAATAGTTCTCAAAAGATTTAAAGAGGCAAAATCATTTGAAAATACCAAAGGGGCTTGGCATTCAATTTACACTTCAAGAAAGTGTTAAGACACTTGAAGTGTCCGCTTACACGTGGTTGACCTACGACTCGACCAACACATTTTGACTAACTCTAAAAGAATACTTAAAGTATATAATGACAAATAAAAATCACTTGAAAATAAATTAACTTAAAGCATTTAAAAAAAATTTCAATTTATAAAAAATGTAAAATCTTATTACAAAATGATCGAGTAAAGAGATAGTTAGATCATTTAAATTATAATAAAGATGGGTAATCTTCAAGGGAATTTTATGAAGATAACTAAGATAAGAGTTAGAGTTAAAATAAAATAAATATAATTACGATAATATAATAAAGAGAGGGACGAAGAATTCGGAGCTTTTGGGCCTACTGCTGCACAAAAACATTCGGCCCAAAAACTATTGATTTTCTAGGCTTTGACCCAATTTTAACTTTTGTATACCGATCGTATACTATCCATATATCATTGTGTATAAGTCAGTTTTTAACTCATGAGACCTCAAAATTAGCTTCAGCCCTAAGTTCAATTTCCGATTTTTTAAATGATGAAGTTGACTTGATAATGGATCTATAACTCAACAAAATGCAAGAATTATGTTCCGTTGGACTCAACCAATATCACATGTAAACAAAGTAAAAGAAAAGAACTAATAGAATAAAAGGGATATAACATTCAAGTCTATCAGCAAGCAATTTATTACTACAAGTAAATAAGGGAAGATGAAAATAGAAGCATAACTTACTCTTAAAAAAGGATAGCAACACATGTAAAGAATATATCAATTAACATAACCACTACCAAGACAAGACGATCTATTTCTCTGTTATGCAATAAAACACAATCCATTAGATGTAACGCAAGATGCACATCAACCGTAACTTAGAGCTTTTGAAAACATGAGAAAATAAGGACAATAAATGGCGAAGATGCACCCTCACATATTATAAAGGAATTTAGATTAAATGGTACACTACAAAGGCTAAAAATTAATTTGAATTTAAGAAAAAATATTTAAGTCAAACATCAAACTCAAATGAAAAAGCAGAAAACTTGATCACAAGCTACAAAACTTACACTTGAACGGATCAAATGTTCACCAAACTAGACCCGTCAGAGAATATAAAAAGAATTTAAACTAAACTTAGAGCATAAATAAAGTGATATATGAATACTCAAATTAAGACTCTAATGACTACATGTAGATATGAAAACTCAATAAAGAATCTGATCGCAAAAGAATGTGACAAAGTAACGACAAAAGATTCAATTCAACCAAACAGAATTCTCAGGAACCAGAATTAACAGAAAAAAAAGAGAAAATCAAGAATCAAGCATGTAAATAGATCTTAACAACTTTCAGGTTTATACTCAAGCGGCTACAAATTTCTATAAACTTAAGAGGCTATCCACAAGAGATTTAGATAATAATAGTATTAAAGAGAGAATTGAACCAAGCATTAACTAAAGACTAAAGATTTAACTAAAAATGAGAGTATGATAGGAGAAAGTAAGGAAGACCAAATAAAATGTACCTCAAAACATAGTACTCTAGCAGCAAACAATGGATATAACATTCTTAATTTTAAATTCATATTAGAAGGCACGACAAGACATAAATCAACACATGAAATTTCAAAGAAAATAGTCGACGGATAGTAATAAAACAACAAACAAGATTTGCTGATTGTATTGAATGTTTAAAGGAATATGATTAAATCTTTCGTGGAGAATTAAGTTGGGTTGTGTATTATAATGGGTCGGCTTTGGAGGGATATTGGATTGGGTGAGAATTGTTGGGTTATTGAGGCAAACAGGTCTTGAAAAATAAGCCAAGAATGTAGTTAATTTGACTTAAGAAAAATAATCATGTGAATTGCTATTTCGATCAAACCGAGGCAATTAGTTGAATTCGGTCAAAATAAGCTAAAAATGAATTGTTATTAATCAATTAATGAGCTTGTTAATCTTAACAATAAAACAATTAACATAATAATAAATTAGTTGATTCAATATATAGACAATAGCTTAAACTAAACTAATAAGCCAAATACTTAATTAAACAAAATCCTTTTGAGACGATTTACGAATATTCATAAAATTACTCTAATTACATACATAACTATATAAAACATACATATTACTTAAAAATTATAATTAAAAAAAGGGACAAATTTATTCAAGCTAGCATACAATCTATTTGAATTTTATAAAACTAATTATTTTAAATTGTTTGAAATTGATAAAGCTTGATGATTAATTTATATCGTGGAGGGACGAAATTGGGCGTCAACATAGTCCATAGGAATTAAGGACCGTAGATCATAACCGTAAAATCAATCCAACAAATATTTTAAAACTATTTGATTATTTTCCTATGTGCTTAAAACCTAAGTTATATCGTTTTACTCTAATCCCTAGCCTTATATAAGTTTTTCAAGTCCTAAAACTACCCACCCTAACTTTATTCCCCTAAATTTCCAAATTCTCTTCTATGTTTTCTCCAAAATCTTCTTTTTAGACGAAGGAAGAAGAAACGAGGTTTTTTCAAGTTCAAGTCTCCTTTCTTCATCACTGCTTAGGACTTCAAGTAAGGTATCTAGGGAGTCAGCCAAGGGTGTAACACCTTGTGCATCGAGAAATGATAAAGAAGGATAATAACCAAGTCCATGAACCCAAAATGGACCATGGACCCTTTCAGGAAACCCTAAATTAGCCGTTTAGGGGTCCACAACATGTTTAGTGGAGGTATCCCAACCATCTAGGGCTTCCAGGACTTGAGTCACCTAGATAGGACCCTAGATGGACCATGGTGAGTTGTATGACATGTTTAGGGGTCTTCACAATCACTCGTCAATTTTTAAGTTTATGTAAATCCTTAAAATATGGGAATGATTTTAGATATGAAATAAGGTCACTAAAATTGAGTTGAAAGTTTTCTAATCAATTGAGTTTCAATATGAGATTTTATTTGGGTCAAATTCAAATTACCATATCTCTCGGTACATAATGAATTAGAACATCCATGACCTATCAAATTAAAGTACTACGAGTCCTCTTCTCAACTTCACAAAGTTTACTTCATTTAGAGTTTGGAGTAAAATGCTCATTTTAGTAAGACTCTATCAGACAATCAAAATTTCACAAATGACTATACGACCAATGAATTTTTTCACGGATTGTGGGGCCCTTAACAGTCTGTGAAGCTTTTCTTTAAGGGAACTTCATCAGTTTTTTGAGTTAGGGTCATTTCGTTCTTTTCCCTATGTGTTTGGTACCTAAGCTATGTTGTTTAAGTTCTTATTTTAACCCTAAACCACGATGTTTTACATCTAGTTAAGGGATTAAAAGGTTTTAATCAGTTCATGTACGTTCATTAATATTTCAAGTCTTTAGACTAAGGTTCTAAGAGGAGATTAAGGTAGGAGTTCTAAACATTCTTTAAATTTCATCGATTTTGCCAAAAATTGGTAAATAGATTGTCCGAACTCTAGGCGTTATCCCTTCGTTGTTAAATTAATATTAGGAATAATAAGATTTACTTCGTGTGATGTTCACACTTGTGTTAATAAATAATTTAGTTATAAAAGCATCTTATGTAGATAAACTATTCAAGCATTGCAAATGGTTGAGTGAAAGTGCAAGAGACTAAGGTATATGTGTAACTTAAAGTATTTGTAATTCCATGGTAAAAAAAATGCCTTGTAGGACACAATCTTGGTGTTTTAATAACGAATTTTGCGTATTATCTAGTTTCATTTTCTTGCAATCTTCGTTATAGTTTATAGAATCCCTACAACATTATAAATTAGAATTTATCTATAAGTGCCTAATAGTTGTTCCCATTGTAAAGTTCAAAACTTTTCCTATATTTCCTATGGATTTCATCAAAACCTTATTATTGTTCTTGCATGCTACCACATTACACCATTTAAAGGTGTATCTTAAGCATATCAACAATATGATTGTTGTTGATATGATGCAATGTTGTACAACATATTTCTCATATGAGTGATTTATATGATTTTGATTTTATTGTTTTACTGCTTAACCTGAGAGAGAGAGAGAGAGAGAGAGAGAGAAGGACGCAAGATACAATTAAGATCAAATAGAGTAGGATCATAAGCCTAGGAATTGGGAAACATATCTTTTGTCTAGGATAGACACATACCTTGTAATTAACGTAGTAATAAGAGATATAGGCGTGAGACAAACAAAAATATGTGATTAGATATTTGAGAGAATCATAGTCATAATATTCACCCCATAAATTAATAACTCGATAAATATTGCAAGATTAAAGAAGGTCGATGAGCAAAATGATTACTTCATATATCATAACCCTAAAAGAATGTTCTCCCATTGTGATTAAATGAACTCTCAACCCTTTGAAAAATATATCAGTTATAAGAAGTTCATAACTCTTTCGACAAAACACTTCTGAATTTTATTATACCTCTATAATCATAAGTTTCAACGAGTCCAACACCTGACCATTGATGCTCACTATAATGCGTATGCGATCACGTACACTCACATGTATATTGCATTGGACAAGCGTCATAGTCAAAGAATTATTAGAGTTGAGACACTTAGTTTGCCAAAGAAGTTGCAACATGAAAAGGACTCTGTAACAGGATGAATATGTTTGCTCGAAAATCATATCCATTTCTCAAGTTTCAACCTGAGACATTTACAAAATACTATATGAACATATGATAACTCTTAAAAAAAGGAGTTACTTTTTCACATACTCAGAATTAGCAGCGAAAATGTCATAGTACAATAATTTTTGCAACAACAACTTACTAGTAAAAAAGGAAACATTTCAACATCAAACACAAGACACACAATTGTTATTCCTAGAACAAAAGAGAACTCTTTTTAGAGTCGCCAACAAATGGTGATTCCATCACCTGTAGGGACTTGGGAAATTTGAACTCGAGTATCCGAATCTAAAAATTTATTAAATTCAATGATGTGTTGCCTATTTGGCTTCATTGTTTCCTTAACATACTCCTCTGGCATAGCAACTGTCTCAAACCATAGTGTATTGTCATATACTATAATACCTCCCACTTTCACCAATTCTAACATTCTCTCATGGTACTTTTGATAGCTAACTTTGTCTCCGTCGATGAAAGGAAAATCGAAACTTTCTCTATTGTCATTGTGCAATAGAATAAGTAGTTTCATTTAATCAAGTAATTGGATGCAAAATATTTTTAAGTAACTTTACTTTTACTTACCTCATTCAAGAGTTCATCAAGGGCTGATAATGCCGAGGACTGAATAAAATTAATTTTATGCTCAACGTTAGCCTTTTTAATAATTGGCGATTCCATCTCGTATGCATCTCGATAGAGGTCTATAGCTATAATCTGCATAATATTTGCACACATAGATCAATGATGTTCTACACATGAATTTGAGAATATATTATACATTAAACCAATTTTAGGTGTATAAAATTGTGATACACTAGCCTTGCCATTATCAGGAATTGTAAGGGCATTAAGGACTAAGGAATATTCAGTGAACACTCCAATTTCAATCGTCTTTTTGGCATTTGTTAGTTTCAACAACAATGCAATTAGTTGACCATCTTCTGGTGCAGTTGCCATTAAACAGCTGTAAAAATATAATTCAAGCTAAGCTGATTGACTTTTTAAAACACATTATTGTCAGTGTATATACATTTTATTATTAAAACAAAATATTAAGTGCATAAGTTAACGTATATAAATTGTGATATAAGATGACTGTTGATTTTTTTAAATTATAGGGAAAAGGGTCTGATATACCCCTCAACTTTGTCATTTAGAGCTGATATATCCCTCGTTATAAAAGTGGCTCATATATACCCCTACTTGTAAACAAATGGCCCACATATACCCTTTTCCTCTAATGAAAATGAAAAAAATAATAATTTTAATCTAAATTTTTATTATTTTTTTCTAAAAGATATAATCCCATATGAGTAAATTTAATCCTTGTCAAACACATTTTTTTGACTTTTTTTTGTTTTAATGACTAATTTTTGATAATCAAATTTATTTATGTTTCACTAATATTCTTGCAGAACTTATTATAGATGATCAAATTTTTTCTTCGAATACGAAATTAAATTACAATACACACAAAAAAATAGTTTAAATTTTTTTTCTTTAAACTAAGGAATGAAAGAAAAAACAAAATAAGAATAAGAAACTGAAATAATTATAATAAAAGAAGTCAAAAAATAATTTATTTATGAAAAAAATTAAAATATACCTTGAACTTTGATAAAAGAATCATATATACCCCTAAATATTTTTTAAAAAAATTAGACATAACAAATTTAAATTTAAAACTAATTTTTTAATTTCCATTAAATAAAGGGTATATGTGAGCCATTTTGTAACGACAGGGGTATATGTGAGCAGTTTGTATAACGGTAAGGGCATATATGAGACACTTTTATAACGAGGGGTATATCAGCTCTAAATGACAAAGTTAAGGGGTATATGAGACCCTTTTCCCTAAATTATATGATCATTAGTTTCTTGTAACTCATGTAACATGTACTACCCACATTATTAGCCCTCGTTCTACCCATTGATTACACCAACATCAAACCCAACTTCTCCAACCCAACCCAACCCATTTAGATTTGGGCTAGTTATTGATTCACAATTTGTTAGCTTAATCCATTAAAAAATTTGATTGATATGTAATCCAAATTGATTTTAGAGAAATATTTTCAAAATATTTTTTCATTTTATATGCTATATATAGTTATTATAAAGATAAAAAATTATTATGTACAAAAAGTTTATAAATAACAAAATAAAGTTATTAAAATTAGTAAAAAATGGACGGATGAGTTATGACCTATTACTTATAACTTGTAACCTAATCAGTTTTGAGCCAACCTATTTTAACCAAAACAAATTTTAACGGGACTAAATCTTTACCTGTATATTGTATTGACCCATTTTGATTGGCCCAACTATTGCCCTACTGTCACGACCCAAATCCGGGTCGCGACTGGCACCCACACTTACCCTCCTATGTGAGCGAACCAACCAATCTAAACCTTAACATTTCAATATAATATCAACATAAAGTAATGCGGAAGACTTAAACTCATTAATAAAATCAATAACTATTATTATCCCCAAAATTTGGAAGTCATCATCACAAGAACATCTACGATCAAACGACTAAACTAAGAGTATTCTAAAAGCTAAAAATACATAAGAAGCTAGTCCATGCCGGAAGTTCAAGGCATCAAGACTTGAAGAAGAAGATCCAGTCCAAGCTAGAAGCATTAGCTCACCCTGAATTTCCGATGTAGTAAGACTGGCTTGAGTTACTGTTGAGTCGAAGATGACGGTACGTTTTCTGCACTCCACAAATAAATAAGAAGAAAACAATAAAAGTAGGGGTCAGTACAGAACACGGGTACTGAGTAGATATCATCGGCCAACTTAAAATAGAAAACAGTATGTATTAAGCAATATCATAAAATCAACTAATATCCTTAGCATGCAGCATTTACAGTTACCATAACCCTTTGTTACAACACCAAGCACATCAATGAGGACTCACACCTCTTCATCATACTCATTTGGGAATTTAGTTCATTAGATTGGATATATTAACATATTTCAAGATTCATTATCTTTATTCCCCTCGTGTCGGTACGTGACACTCCGCTCCTCAATATACTATCCTGGT